CTATCTTGGTTTGAATTAAGAGTATACACCATGCTTTAATTCGAATTGAACTATGAATAGGAAGAGTATGTATGGACATTCGACAACAGGGATTAGATACATACTTGGTTGTTTAAAATGTTCTTCTATGCTTAATGGGTTCCTAATGCTTAATTTTAGGTTAGACAACAAATGATCAAATTAGGGAATTAGGAACACAAGGTTATGACCACACACCATGGCTTAATCATACTTTAGCTAGAATCAATCCATTAATCTAATTGAACTTGTTTCCTTATTTGCTTGAGGCCTGCAAGATGACCCACGAAATTGGACTGACAGGGAGTGTGACCCAAATTGGCTCTGTCTTTAAGTTTATATTCCTCTTGTGCCAATCAGCCCTTAATATGCATGGATTGTGTCAAATGTGATATCTTGCTGCCTTAACCTACAAAACACACAAACATAGGTAAGTGACTCGAAATAAAGAGAAACTAAACAAAATCACTAAGTAAAGAAGGCATACAAATGTGTGAAATTATGAACTTATCAAATACCCCCAAACTTAGATTTTGCTAGTCCTCGAGCAAAACAAAATAAAACTACAACTTAGAAAACAGAAAATAAGCAGCTAGCCTTCCAAACAATATCCTCAAAGAATCACCAAAGTATATGGTTCAAAGAAACACAACAATCAGAATCTAAGTTCCACACATGATTCAAGAGTAAGCAAAGCTCACAATGACATCCTTACGTGTAGTGTGTGAATGCCAAATCAGAACAACACCTGCAACTCAAATAAGTACATGCGCACACACTTAGAGCACAATTAAGAATTTCGAACCCCATAAGCACATTATCAGATCAGCTCTCCACAGAATACCATACAATACCAAGGATCAAAAGGACTTTACAAGGGTTGTAATGAGGCTTAGGGTAGTGGGTTGAATGAATGAGAGGATATGGATAACAACATTTTGAGCACAACTAAAGCATAGGTAAAAGCATGAGAGATTATTGAACTTTGTAACAAGCAAGGAACACATACATGAGCAGATTCTCAACATAATTTCAGCACCTTCAAATGTGTTTATTTGGCCTAATTTTGTGGCTCTTTACCCTAGATCACCATGATCTTCTCCTTATAACACCCTAGGGCTGTGACTACATTGGCCACACTTCATTACCTCTTTTGATTAGTTACCAATACCCCCAAACTTATTTCTTTTCAACACTTGGGTTATGGCACTAATGATTCACTTTTGCTCCAAAAACCTTGCATTCTTTATGACTCTCTTTTGAAGATAGCTTTAATTGCTCAAAGAATAGGTAAAGATAAGAAACAAAGATTTATTATGGTAGGAATGGTTTACACAAAGAAAGGCTTAACGTAGGCTCAAATGGATTGACTAGGGATGAATACATGTAGAGGGATGGTTAGAAAGGCTCAAACGATTTAAACATGGCCTAAATCACTTCCTAAGCATTGTATGGCAACAGATTGTCTCAAGAGATATTCAAATAAGTTCTAGAGTACGAAACCAAGATCATGATAAGTAGAATTGCATAACATCTCCAAGTAGCAAGAAATTGGACTAACTTGGCAAAGTGCTCAATAAGTGCAAGGATGGCGTGAAAGACAAAGTTCACTCAGAATCACACACAGGCCTTAAATAGTGACTATCAATTTCTGAAAAACCATATTAGTATTAAATCCAAGTCTTATCATAGGTGTTTGGAAGGATAACGAAACAACACACAAAATCCTGCGTTTTTAGACACTAGACACACTTAAAAATTTTAAAATTTGACAATTTGAAACAACATAACTAAATCCTTCCCCCCAAACTTAAATGAAACATTGTCCTCAATGGTTAGAGTGTAAGAACAAGCAATGCCTCATAAATGAAAGGAAAGAAGATAAGGAAAAGACATAACCAAATGTTAGAGTTTAGAAAACAACTCCCCTTTGAAGCGATTAGGACGCAAGCAAGCTCCTTGGATGTTCTATCTTCACCTGACCTTGGGTTGCCTCCCAAGAAGCGCTAAGTTTTATGTCTTCAGCCGGACATCCAAACTTTCTATAGTGAATGGGGGGGGGTTTGGGCTCAATCGACACCTCATGCATTGCAAGATTGTTCACCAAGCTTGTTTTCTTTTTCCATCGCTTCCTTGTTGCTTTCCTTTTCCTTTTATGATTATGAACATAATGGCAATGAACTGGAGGAGTGATTGGAGTATCTCCAAATTTGGGCAGCCCCTTCTTGTGTGTAGGAATTGTAGCATTGAACATGTGGGCAGCCCCCTGCTCCTCCTTGTCTACTCCTTGCAACAAGCATGCTTCTAGTGAATATGAAAGACCATCAAATCTCTCTTTCCCTGGATCGCCCAATACTTCAATTTGAAAACAATCTTGAACATCATTTGGCAGATTCGTGGCATCAAACACTTTGAAAGCAACAGTTTCTCCATTAACGGTCATGGTGAGAGTGCCTTGCGCTGCATCGATCGTGGTCTTAGCAGTAGCCATGAAGGGTCGGCCAAAGATGAGTTTAATGGCACAGATGTGGCTTGCAACTCACCTAGGTTAAGTTTCTCATAAACATGATATGGCATAAGGTTAATGGCACAGATGTGGCTTGCAACTCACCTAGGTTAAGTTTCTCATAAACATGATATGGCATAAGGTTAATGGCACAGATGTGGCTTGCAACTCACCAAGGTTAAGTTTCTCATAAACATGATATGGCATAAGGTTAATGGATGCACCAAGATCAAGCAAAGCTTTTGGAATCTTGAAATCACCAACAATGCAAGGTATAGAAAACGAACCTGGATCCTTTAGCTTTGGAGGTAGCTTTCTTTGTAACACTGCACTTACCTCTTCACTTAATGCAACCTGTTCATGCTCTTTGAATCTCCTCTTGTTAGTGCAAAGATTCTTCAAAAATTTTGCATATTTTGGAATTTGAGCAATGGCACTGAGCAGTGGGATGTTGATTTGCACCTTCTTGAATATTTCCATTATCTCATCCAAGCCTTGATCTTTCTTTGACTTTGATAACCTGCTGGGAAAGGGTGCAATAGGCCTAAAAGCATTAGTTGAAATTGGAACTTGATTAGCATTAGATGATACCTTAGGGCCTGTGCTCTTTCCAGGAGCATTGAGGGGCTGTTTGGAGGAACCTGTGGGCTGCCCTTGTGGTGGCTGAATGATCTCCACGTTTTCTCCATCTTCTTGCTCTTCATTGGAATCTCCAACCTTATTATCAACTTGTTTACCACTTCTCAAGATGTGCATTGCTTTAACTTGCTCATGATGCCTTGGATTCACCTCCGTTTGGCTCGGAAAAGTTCCGGATGCTCTATTGCTCAAGGAGGATGCAATCTGCCCAACTTGCATTTCTAGTTTGTTCACTGCGTTTTGAAGATTCTGGTTGGTTTGCATTTGTTGCCCCATGAACTTCTTGAACATGTCTTGCAATTCCCCCATTTGATCACCCCTTTGCTCTTGCACTTGTTGGGGAGCTTGCTGGAATTGCCTTTTTGTGTTTGGAATCCTGGGGCTCCTTGAGATTGTTGCACATTTGAATTATTGCTCCACCTGAAATTAGGATGATTTCTCCACCCCGGATTGTACGTGTCTGAATAAGGATCATTATGAGGATCCCTTGCTTGAAGGGCATTTGCTTGCTCTGGCATCTGATTTCTAGCATGCAAATTACCCATCCGTTGGCATCTATCACATGAAGCACAAAATGTATAAGCATCCTTAAAAAGGGTAGGCCAAAAGAAACCTGATTGTAGCACTTTGTTGGCAGTCTTCTTTCACCATATTATCAATTGCATCAAGCTGGAAAACTTCATGCTCATCAGTTGGAAACTTGGAGGCTTCAAACACTTTGAATGCTATTGTCTCATCAAACACGTTCGTAGTCAATGTACCCTTCTTCACATCAATAATTGCACCGGCAGTTGCCATGAATGGACGACCAAGAATGAGTGGTAACTGATTGTCATGAATTGGTGCTTCTTCCATTTCCAACACCAAGAAATCAGCTGGCAAAATCAGCTCTTCTACTTTCACCAAAACGTCTTCTAGAATGCCCCTAGGGTACCTGATAGTTCTATCTGCCAATTGAATGCTCACAGATGTGGCTTGCAACTCACCAAGGTTAAGTTTCTCATAAACATGATATGGCATAAGGTTAATGGATGCACCAAGATCAAGCAAAGCTTTTTGAAACTTAAAATCACCAACTATACAAGGTATAGAAAATGAACCTGGATCCTTTAGCTTTGGAGGTAGCTTTCTTTGTAAGACTGCACTAACCTCTTCACTTAATGCAACCTGTTCATGCTCTTTGAATCTCCTCTTGTTAGTGCATAGATCCTTCAAAAATTTTGCATATTTTGGAATCTGAGCAATGGCATTGAGCAATGGGTTGTTGATTTGCACTTTCTTGAATATTTCCATTATCTCATCCAAGCCTTGATCTTTCTTTGACTTTGATAACCTGCTGGGAAAGGGTGCAATAGGCCTAAAAGCATTAGTTGAAATTGGAACTTGATTAGCATTAGATGATACCTTAGGGCCTGTGCTCTTTCCAAGAGAATTGAGGGGCTGTTTGGTGGAACCTGTGGGCTGCCCTTGTGGTGGCTGAATGATCTCCACGTTTTCTCCATCTTCTTGCTCTTCCTTGGCATCTCCAACCTTATTATCAACTTGTTTACCACTTCTCAAGATGTGCACTGCTTTAACTTGCTCATGATGCCTTGGATTCACCTCCGTTTGGCTTGGAAAAGTTCCGGATGCTCTATTGCTCATGGAGGATGCAATCTGCCCAACTTGCACTTCTAGTTTGTTCGCTGCATTTTGAAGATTCTGATTGGTTTGCATCTGTTGCCCCATGAACTTCTTGAACATGTCTTGCAATTCTCCCATTTGATCACCCCTTTGCTCTTGTACTTGTTGGGGAGCTTGCTGGAATTGCCTTTGTTGTATTTGAAATCCTGGGGGAGGTCCTTGAGATTGTTGCACATTTGAATTATTGCTCCACCTGAAATTAGGATGATTTCTCCACCCCGGATTGTATGTGTTTGAGTAAGGATCATTCTGAGGATTCCTTCCTTGAAGGGCATTTGCTTGCTCTAGCATGTGCTTTGCAAAAGTTTGGTCTTGAACTTCCTCTTTGCTTCCTAGAGGGCCAGTTACTGCCTGTTGAAGCAAAGAACACATAACATGAAGTTTTGCATTAATCTCATTATTAGTACTTACCTCAGAGACCACAGCTTTCATAGGAGCTCCTCTTCCTTTATTGTAGCTCCATTGTTGAGAGTTGGTACTCAAAGATTCAAAGAGAGTAAAAGCCTCATCTGCTGTTTTGTTCATCAGTCCTTCTCCACTTGTTGCATCTACCATCATCCTTTCGGAATCAAGCAAACCTTCATAGAAAGATTGCATTTGCATCCAACTCTCTATATTGTGGTGTGGGCAAGAACTCATCATCTCCTTGTACCTCTCCCAGCATTCATGAAAAGCTTCTCCTTCTCTTTGTGTGAAACCAAGAATTTCCTTTCTAATCTTGTTAGTCTTTTGAGCTGGAAAGAATTTCTGCAAAAACTTATTAGAAAGCTCATCCCAAGTACGAATTGAAGCATTAGGCAAAGAGTATAACCATGACTTAGCCTTATCTTTTAAACTGAATGGGAATAGCCTCATCTTAATCTGCTCATCATCAAGTCCTTGAATTTTGATTGTAGCACATATTTCAAAGAATTGCTTAACATGCATGTAAGGATCCTCAGTGGTATTACCATAATAAGTTGGAAGAAGATGAATCATACCACTTCTAAGCTCAAACCTGTCAATTGTGAGTTGAGGGTAGACGATGCACGAAGGTTGATCGGTGACTTTGGGAATGGAAAATTCACGCAGGGGTTTCCGAGGTTGGACAACAAGCGCACCACCTCCTTCATCATTATTGTTGTTGTTTGGAATCTCTGCCATCTTGCTTGAACCTTCAGATTCATAGCTCTTAGATTCAGCACTTGAAGAACTATAATTCCTCCTCAAACCAGCACGTACAGCAGCTGCTCTTGGTGATAGTGGCTCAGTTTCAGAATCGGACATACATGCACACAAAGGAAATCAATTCAGCGTCTTTAATGGAGATAACAACTAAATAGAAAAACAGAATACTAAAAGCAAAACCAACGAAAAGAAACAATTAAAACTTAACAAAAATAGAAACACTCAAGGTAATCTAACTATAGCACCATCGTTACCGGTTCCCCGGCAACGGCGCCAAAAACTTGTTGAGCCTATTCTTAACAACTAAAATGAGTTATTAAAAACAGCAACTTTAATTCTCGCAAGTGCACGAACCGCTTATAGTTTAGCTTATGTAAATACGAGGTCGATCCCATAGAGAATGGTAACGTGGTTACAAGTTAAACTACTTAGAATGCTGGGAAAACAGAAAACAAAGAAACAAACTAACTAACAATGGCAAGGTCTAGGATAGAATCCTAGCACCACACACGCACTCGAAATGGGGGGTTTTGTTGTTGAAGTGAAAACAAGAGAATGAAAAGGAAGTGCTGGAAAGTAAACAATAGCAGCAATCAACAAGTTGTGAAACAATGATTGAGAAGTGTTAGAGCCTTGGAATCCACCACTAGTTTTCCTATCCAAGTTATGAATGCATAGAAAGTGACTCAAGCTTCATCAACAATGGGTTTTAAGCGGGACCATTGTGACCCCTCCAACCTTCCCGGATCCCCTGGCTGTGTTTTCTGAGGCCCTTAACTGGTCATCCTTAAGTTTTTCTCTTAAAAGAAGAAGCAGTTATTTGTGTGTTTACTTAACTAATAAAAATTTCATGTTTGGGTTTTCGTGTTTTTGTTTGATTGTCATTCTTTGAATTTAGGGTCAATCGTCTCTTTGAGATAGCATAACATTTTTATAAAATAAAAAAAAAAAATCTTTAAAATTAAATAATAAATAAAAAATTGAAATCATTTCTTCTTGGCGCTCGGTGTCTCGACCATAGGAACTTTTAGTTTGGCCGTCTGGATGTCCACTTCTGGGTCTTCACGCACAGCCTCTTGGGGCTCATCACTTGAGCTCCCGATCGACCTCGCACTTACATATGCTATACTACCAAACGGCTCGTGCACTTGCGAGTATCACAAGTTGAGGATGCAGCTGAATCCATTTTGGTGCAGCTGAAATCTACACAACACTAGGGCTTCATCCTAAGCCCTAACTAAATGGATTAGTTAAACATAACTATGAATACAGAAAATAAGAAATACATAGATAGAATAAAGAGAATAGAAGAACTAGTTGGTGGCAGCAACTCCCAGGACAGCTCCAAGCTCTCCCTCCTTTGCAGCTAGCTCTCTTCTCTCTTTGTGGTGAATCTGAATGTGTGTATGAGAGTAATGGATGGAGTGAATGTGTGTGTCTATCCTCTTTTTTGTCTCCTTTGTATGACCTGCAACTCTCTATTTATAGACTGCCAATTCGTCCTCCCCTTAGCTGGTGTAGACAGCCCACCAGAAATCCTGGAAACTGCTCCTTGATTTGTGCCAACATGTTTCCCCATAATTAAGCATGCCATGTTTTGCTCCTTGAGATTTCCAATGCTGAAATGCCTCCCTAATTTGCTCAACAAGTCAGGTCTAAAGTCAGGTACAGCTCAGTTGAGGCACAAGGCTCAAAGGGGGTGTGGAACACAAGGCTCATTAGCTGGCAGCTGCATATTAAAATCCTCCTGAGTATGCTTCAGTGTTTGACGGGCTAAGGACTCCAGTTATGTTCAATTGGGTTGAATGTTGGATATGTTATACTAGACACCAATCTGAACAACTTCTGTGAAGGACGTCTCCTCATCCAAGTTGTGTAGGTTGCTGAAATGAGGCCTGCAAGATGACCCACGAAATTGGACTGACAAGGAGTGTGACCCAAATTGGGTCTGTCTTTAAGTTTATATTCCTCTTCTGCCAATCAGCCCTTAATATGCATGGATTGTGTCAAATGTGATCTCTTGCTGCCTTAACCTACAAAACACACAAACATAGGTAAGTGACTCGAAATAAAGAGAAACTAAACAAAATCACTAAGTAAAGAAGGCATGCAAATGTGTGAAATTATGAACTTATCAGACGTTGGTGCTTTTTTGCTTGCTTAATTAAACGTATTTACAACGGCGTATCCCATATAAGTACGGTCGTCTAAAGTGTTATCCTGTTTGAAGTGGAATAAGACGACGCTATAAATAAATGGTGTTGTAATAAAGTTGTACGATGGTGCTATGAATATAACTACCGTCATCTAAGGGTTTCGACATCTTAATATACCATGACGGTTTCAATAAATAAACGGTTGTTGAAAACATTGGTTTACCATGTTGTCATTGTAGAATATAGCGTCAGAGTTTTTTGTACCTAACCATGTCGATCTCGCCATAAATAGCGCCGTATAATATTATACGAATCCACATCACTTCTTTCGTATTTTGGCTCAAAATCAAATTTGGTCATCGTGATTTCAATTTTCCCGATTTGGTCATCGTATTTGCTGCTGTTAACAAATCAAGTCCAATGTCTCAATTATGTCAGTTTCAGTTATTAAAAAATATTTAATATTAAGTTATAAATAATTAACTTCAATATAAAATTTAAGCATAATATATTTAAAAATAAAATTAATAAGATTAACACTTAAATTAAAAATAAATAAAAAACAAATAACCTATAGCCATCCCTCCACCTCCCGCTATGCCATATTTCACTATGTTCTCTCTTACCCTTTCCCTCTCCCTCTGTTTTAGGGGTATCAACCGCAAGAAGAACCACTGACGCCACCCATCGCCGGCCAATTGGCGACCAACTTCGTTGCCCTTTGAATTGTCCCATTATTTGGATAGTTTAGGAATGCGTAGTCATGTCACGTAATTTACGGCTATAGGATTAGGTTTCGGTTGTGGAGATTTCGGTGTCATCTCTGTACATTCTTCAGGTGGTACATAGGTATTTTATGCCTACGGTACACCTCAAGAACTGATCGAGACGTTGCCGAAATTCATCCACGTCGAAATCTAATCTTATGCAGCCGTAAATTACGTGACATGACTATGCATTCCCGAATGGGATAGGTCCCTTACCGCAAGCATAAGGTAACATTATGATTTCGTATGAAGTTGTTGTGATTGTCGTATTGTGATTGTGGTTCCAGGGATTATGAGCAGGAGGTGGATATAGAACCCGAATAGATGCGCAGACGAATATTTGGATGGAATCGAGGATTTTATTGACTTTGCTCGTACACACAACCCGGGTGCAACTAGAATCTGGTGTCCTTGTAGGAGCTGTAACAACATGTTGTGGGAGACAATTGAAAATGTTCGATTTCATTTAGTAAGGAATAGAATGATTGAGACATATAGCACTTGGAACCATCACGGGGAACAATTAGACAATGTTGAACCTATTGTGGATCCTAATGAACAAGTCATATATATATTATAAATTATTCTTTTCCATTTGCATCGACCAAAATCAATCAGGAATGGGAAGATGATGTGCCTACACCAATGGACAGTGCAGAGTTCGAACAATATGAAAAATTGTTGAAAAATGCCAACCAAGAGTTATACCAAGGGTGCGAGAGCTTTTCCATTCTCACGGCCATTGTGGAGCTAATGCACAGAAAAATAAAGTATCGTCTGTCGAACTTGTGTTTCGATTACTTTTTGGGGGTTTTCAATAGAATGCTTCTGACGAAAAATTGTTCGCCGAAAGACCATAGACACGCGCAAAAGGTGTTGAATGGTCTTGGATTGGGTTATGAAAAAATTCACGCTAGCAAAAACAATTGTTTGTAATTATACAAAGAGTATAAAACATTGGATACATGCCCTATATGCAATGATTCAAGGTTAAAAATGACATCTCAGAATAGAATGACTAAGATTCCACAAAAAGTCATGCGTTATTTGCCCCTGAAACCTAGGTTCCAACGATTGTATACGTCGACGCATGCTGCCACAAACTTGGGATGGCATAAAGAAAAACGGGTAGACGATGATGTGATGCGGCATCCTGCAGATGGGGAGGCATGGAACGTTCCCCGAGTTTGCTGCGGATCCCCAAAATGTTAGATTGGGACTTGCCACTGACGGATTCAATCCGTACGGGGTTCTAAACCAACACCACAACACTTGGCCGATTTTCGTATTCCCATATAATTTGCCACCTTGGAAATGCATGAAAAAAGAATACATGATTATGACTATTTTGATAACTGAGGCTCCTGGCAGGTCAATCAATGTTTACTTAAGGCCGTTGGTTGATGAGCTCAAGGATTTATGGACAAACGGTGTGCGCACGTACGATAAATCCACCAGGAAGATGTTCACTTTGCGGGCAGCAGTTATGTGGACTGTGAATGATTTTCCCGCATATGCAATGGTTTCTGGGTGGAGCATAAAGGGTATATGGCATGCCCTGTATGCAAGGAAGATGTAACTTCTAGTTGGCATGCTGGAAAAGTTTGTTACCTTGGTCATCGGAGCTGGTTGTCATGGGACCACGAGTGGCAAGAAAAGGATAAGGAGTTCAACGGGAACACAGAGCATCGCCTCAGACCTAGAGAATGGTCTAGTGATCAAATCTTGGAACAACTTAACTGTTTGGATTTTGCTCCATTCGGTAAAACAGTTAGTCAGACTAGACCTTCTACACATATGAACTGGACGCACAAGTCTATGTTTTTTGACCTCCCATATTGGTCGAAACTAAAACTAAGGCACAATCTCGACGTTATGCATGTTGAGAAAAATGTCTTTGACACATTGATGGACACGATTCTAGATATCGAGGGCAAGACAAAGGACACGATCAAAGCTCGTATTGATTTGGAAAGAATGGGCATACGAAGGGGTTTATGGATGAATAGGGACAGTGATAAAGCTAGAAGGGATCTTGCATTTTTTCCATGAAACCGAATGACAAAAAAGAGTTTCTAAAGTTTGTATCGTCTGTAAAGTTTCCTAATAGGTATGCTTCTAATATCGCGCGTTGCATAAATGTTGACAGAGGTAAATTTGCTAAACTAAAGACCCA